AAAAAGGGATATCATTTGACTGGACCGATCAGAGAGAATCAGCCTTTCAAGAGTTAAAGACTCGACTTGTGACTGCACCGATTCTCACCTTACCGTCAGGTACGGATGGATTTACTATTTTTAGTGATACTTCTTATAAGGGTTTAGGATGTGTCTTAATGCAGAATGGTAAAGTTATTGCATATGCTTCCCGACAACTGAGACCGCATGAGAAAAATTATCCAACCCATGACTTAGAACTTGCTGCAGTAGTGTTTGCATTGAAAATCTGGCGTCACTACCTTTATAGGGCAACATGTGAAGTGTATACAGATCACAAAAGCTTGAAATATTTCTTCACACAGAAAGAATTGAACATGAGACAGCGAAGATGGTTAGAACTGATAAAAGATTATGACTTGCAAATTTTGTACCATCAGGGGAAAGCTAACACCGTTGCCGATGCACTGAGTCGGAAATCAGTTGAAAATTTAGCCTGTTTACTCACCGGGCAGAAAAAATTGCTATGTGACCTTGAACACCAGGGACTGAATGGCGTGGTAAGAGATGGGGTTTTAAGTTTAAGAAAGGCCGAAATAACTCACTGAACAAAAAGCAAAATACAGGGTCAACGACCAGTTCTAGTCAGGGAAGTGGTTCCGTACCACCCTGCTCCAAATTTGGGAAAAGACATAAAAGGGTTTGTTATAAGATTTCTGGTGCTTGTTACAGGTGTGGCAAGGTAGGCCACATGGATAAAGATTGCCCTTCCACAGCTCAAGGCAATAGTAAAGTTGCAGCTAGCGCCGCAGCATCAACTGCTCCACCGAAACCCAACCCCAAAGCTACTAGAAAGGAGCCTTTACGGCAAGGTCGGGTGTTTGCACTCGTACCGAGGGATGTGCAGAATACCGAGACAGTTGTGTCAGGTATACTCTCAATTTGTGCACAAAATGCTTATGTTCTGAATGATTCGGGGTCTACGCATTCATATGTTTCGCATGCTTTCTCACGAAAATTGAATAGACCATCGGAACCCATGAACTATTTATTTGTTGTATCCTCACCTGTTGGGGGATCCATGACTTGTGCTTATATGTATCCTGCATGTGAAATTATTGTTGGGGATGTGCATTTGTATATTGATTTACTGCCTTTGAATATCGATCATTTCGATGTGATATTGGGAATGGACTGGTTAACAAAATATCATGCTACCATAGACTGTGTAACAAAACAAGTTGTTTCCCGTCCACCTGGATTGCCTGAATTTGTGTTTAGTGGAATTGGTGTAGTGCCTCTCCCATACCTGATTTCATCCATGAAAGCATTTAAACTGATTAAGAAGGGATGTAAAGGGTATCTATGTTGTATATTGACTGTACCTACTGATACTAAAACTAATGTGGACAGTATTCCTATAGTCAGAGAATTCCCAGATGTTTTTCCAGATGATTTGCCAAGGGATTTGATTGACAGGGAGATAGAGTTCACCATTGATGTGATTCTGGGTACACAGCCAGCTTCCAAAGCTCCTTACAGAATGGCACCTACTGAATTGAAAGAACTGAAAGTTCAGCTACAGGAACTGTTAGATAAGAAGTTCATCAGGCCCAGTACTTCACCGTGGGGCGCTCCAGTTTTATTTGTAAAGAAGAAAGACGGCTCCTTGAGACTCTGCATTGACTACCGTGAGCTGAACAAGGTAACAGTGAAAAAAAAATATCCATTGCCTCGAATTGACGATTTGTTTGACCAGTTACAGGGTGCCCAAGTTTTCTCAAAAATTGACCATAGATCTAGATATCACCAGTTGAAAATCAAACCAGGGGACATTGAAAAGACTGCCTTTCGAATGAGGTATGGACATTACGAATTCCTTGTTATGCCTTTCGGAGTTACCAATGCACCTGCCACATTTATGGACCTTATGAATAGAATTTTCAAACCATTCCTCGATGAATTTGTAGTTGTATTCATAGATGACATTCTGATTTATTCCAAAGGTAGAGAAGAACATGAACATCATTTGATAATTGCTTTGCAGACCCTAAGAAAACAGAAACTGTATGCTAAATTCACAAAATATGAATTTTGGCTTGATAATGTTATGTTTTTGGGACATGTAATCAGTAAGGATGGAGTTTCAGTTGATCCGCAAAAAATTGAAGCAGTAGTGAATTGGCCCAGACCGACAAATGTGACTGAAGTCTGAAGTTTCTTAGGCTTAGCCGGATACTACAGAAAATTTGTAAAAGATTTCTCCAAAATTGCTCTACTATTGACTCAATTGACTTAAAAGGGAAAACCATTTGATTGGACCGATCAGAGAGAATCAGCTTTCCAAGAACTGAAGACACGATTAGTGACTGCATCGATTCTTACCTTAACCCCAGGTACGAATGGATTTATCATATTTAGTGATGCTTCTTACAAGGGTTTGGGATGTGTCTTAATGCAGAATGGTAAAGTTATCACATATGTTTCCCGACAACTGAGACCGCATGAGAACAATTATCCGACCCATGACTTAGAACTTGCTGCAGTAGTGTTTGTATTGAAAATCTGGCATCACTACCTATATGGGGCAACATGTGAAGTGTATACAGATCACAAGAGAGAATTAAGAGAGAATTGTTTCATCTAGAGAATTACTTGGAGAATTAGAAGATTTTGAGGATAATTGCACGAATTGAGCTTCCATTCTTGAAATTGAAGACCTAAGGTAGGAGAATCATCTTCTTGAACTTGAATTCTAGTTGTATCTTGCATGGTCCATGAGCCATTAGTGATCTAAGTCTAGAATTGGTTTTAAATTGTTGAATTGAAGCTTGAATCATGCATGCATGTACACATTGGTGAGTTTTGAGGTTGTTTTCATGGAAATTCTTACATGCATGTCTACACTCTAGTTGTAGCTCATGAATTCATCATGTTTTTGGAAGTTTAGACTCATTGATCTTGTAGTAGAAGCTTTGAATTCAGATGAAAACATACATGTCATATGTTCATCATGTTCTTGAAGTTATTGTTGAAATTGTGTTTTATTGGAACTGCCTTTAGGCTTTGGTTTTGTAAATTGATCTTTGAAACATGTCATATTATGGGTTTTAAGGTGTTTTCCAGAATATTGGCCCAAAAGGATCGAATTTGAAGCTTTAAAGATTGAGTTTTGTGCTTGGAGACAAATCTGGAAATTCTAGATTCTGGATCCACACTCGAGCGTACACTCTGAGTTCATGCAGTCCGCTCGAGCGGGGAAAATAACGATCGAGCGTGAAATGCGTATATCCAGAACTTTTCATATGTTTACGATCCGCTCGAGCGAGGGAATGCATGCTCGAGCGAGGACTTGTGTCTCACGCTCGAGCGGAGGTCGAGCGCCCATCGAGCATGAATTGCATACATCCAGTACTTTTGCTTGAATTTACAGTCCGCTCGAGCGAAGGAAACCACGCTCGAGCGGAGCTCCTTTGTCTGCATGTCCGCTCGAGTGTAGAAATCTACGCTCGAGCGAGACCCCTGTTTTCTGAAAATTTTAAAAAGTGTTTTAAAGTGCATCTTTGCATCCTCATTTCATCCTAGGCATTCCTAGGCCTAGTTTAAGGCA